GATAAAATGCAATGATTTTAATCAGATAAAACATAACCTAAAAATCTTACAGTAACTAACATAATTAAGTTTGAAGTATTGCAAATTTCCCTTCTGAAATAAAGAATAAGACCATATTGCTTACTATCTCCACTCCTACCAGCAATGCATCGGGATATAGAGTCACAAGGCCAAAAAAAAAAAAAAAAAAAAAAAAAAAAAAAAAAAAAAAAAAAAAAGAAGAAGAAGATTAATACAGAAGTAAAACTGTCATTATTCAAACCTGATGAACTTACATAAATAGAAAATCCAAAAGAACATACAGTGAAACTACTAGTTTCAATAAGTAAATTTGTACACTATCCCCAAACTTGATTTTACATCTGCCAGGCATGGTAGCATTAGCTTGTAATCACAGGGCTCTGGGAGACTGGGGTAGGAGGATTGTAAGTTCAAGACCAGACCAGAGACTCAGAGAAATCCTGTGACAAAATTTTTAAAGGTATAATAGATACTTTGAAATAGGAAGAAAAGGTGCAAAGGGGAAGGGTAAGTGGGAGGCATAGGGGAAAGGAAATGGAATGAAATAAATAAATATGAGAAAATGAAAACAAAGTCTTTGTAGATAGAGAGGGTGGAGAGGTTGAAAGGAAGGCAGGGGAATGGGGAGAAACTAAGAACCAAGATGGATTATGTAAAGGTGCAAATTTCCAATGATGAATGTCATTAGATTGTATACTTTAAATGTACCAATAAAAATTTTTTTTTAAATTTTAAAAGTATGGGGAATGCATCTCAGGGCTTGGGCCCTGGTTTCAATACTGGAAACAAAACAATTGTACTTCTAATTAATTATAATAAAAAATTAGAAAATAAAAGAATTTAAAATATACTATTTGCAATACATGAAACACTTAGAACTAAATTTAACAAAAATGTGTAAAACCTCTCTACAGAACACTAATGAGAAAAATCAAAAGACACCTTAATAAATGGAAGGCTATACCATATTTATAAGTTAAAAGGTCAAGGAAGTTGAATATGCCAATTATTCCCCAAACTGGGCTACAGATTCAATGTAATTCACTCTAAATCCAATAATTTATTTTGGAGGAAATTAACAAGATGAGTCTAAAATATCTATGGAAACGTGAAGGACTAAGAATAGACTAGACAATCACACAGGGGAAAAACAGGCGTAGAAGAGCCAAGCTTGCCCATGTCAGGAGCTAGTGTAAAGCTACAGGAACTAAAATGGTGCAAAACTGGCACAACAGATAGCCAGTCCAGTGGAAAGCAGCAGGGAGTAGAAAGAGAGACCCACAAATACACAAGAACCTGATTTCTGATAAAAATGACACTACACTGCAGTAGGGGGGAGTGGAAGTTTTAATTAACAGTCTGCATTGCTTGGATGCTCCTATTAGAAAGAAAAAAGGAGGCAGGCAAGGAGGAGGAGGAGGAGAGGATCTTCAGCTCCACTTCACACCTCCCTCAAAAATCAATCATAGTTTAGAGGTTTAAGAATGAAAAATGCAAGAAGACATTTTTAAGAAAAATCCTTGGGTTTTGTTGCTGTTGTTGTTGTTGTTGTTGTTTTCCTCATTGAGATTATTGGTACATTTTAGGTATACAGTACAGTTACATTCATCATTGGGATCTTGTACATTTATATGACAGGTCTCAGTTCTCATTTTTTCCCATTGTCCCTGCCCTCCCTTCACCCCCTCCTCCCTTCCCTATTTACAAACACTTTATTTCCATTTTTTCAAGTTCTCATATATACTTTTTCTCCTTATTACCTTTCCCCTACCCTTCCCACTTTCCCTACACCTTTAGCCCTTTGCTTCCTATTTCACATTGAAATCCTTGGATTTTAAACAGGATAGAGAAAATATTTATAAAGAAAAATACTAAAGAACTAGACTATCTCTTACTTTACTGCTCACAGTAAAGATGGAGAGAGACCAAAAGAGCACAGGACAGACAGGCTGCTGATGCATTCAACAAACACACCCAACAAAGGCTTTTCCTAAGACACACCAAGAATACCTACAAATTAGTGACGGGAAAACCAAAGCAATTTAAAAATGAGCAAAGTATGTTAAGATGTACTTTATAAAAGAATGCAGTCAAGCATCCAGTAAACATACGAAAGAAGTCTTAAATCTCATTAGTCATCAGAGAAATGCAAATTAAAAGCATGATCAAGCGGCTGGAGATGGAGCTCAGCAGCAGAGCACATGTGTGGCATGCATGAGGCTCTAAGCTCAATCCCCAGCTCCACTGAGTGAATAAATAAATAAATGAAAGTAAAAACAGCTAGAAATCAAGTCAGTTGACAATACCAAGTACTGCTGAAGCTATGATACATTTTGAATTCACAAACATGCACGGTAGGAATTTAAACTGTTAGCAATAAATTTTAGATAACTGTTTATAACACCAACTAAATTTACAAGTAGGTAAGCCATAGGATCAGAGAATTCCACTATTCTTGTCAACTCAGGGGTGTACTCATAGCCCAGAGGACTGTACAAGAATGTTCACGGTGGTGCAGTTTGTAATACAGTGGACCCTCAAGTTACAGCTGGCCTGACATATGAATGACTTAGGTTAATTAATTAGGGTAATGGAAGATTCATCTGCCTCTTGTTGTCTATAGTGTGCACCTGGGTGAACATCCAGATCTCAGCTGTACTTCAACCAATTCGAGTTACTACCAGCCCTCAGGAACAGATCAAGTTCATAAGTCAAGGGTCCACTGTAACTGAAACCCAGAATCGTGCTGAACATTAACCAGTGGAATGGAAACATCTATTTTCAATATATTAATACAGCAGAATACTACGCAGTGATAATGAAGAACAAAATACAACTGCATAGGTCACGCAAAACCCAAGGGGCTGATAAAACCAGACAGAAAAACAATATTCTTTGTGGTTCTGTATATGTAACAAATCTGATTCCATGTGTGTAAATTCAAATAGGCAAGATTAACCTGGAAACAGAAGTCAGGATAGTGCTAAGGACTGGAGAGGTGTGACTGTGAGGCCAGCTGAGCAGGGCTCTACTTCTCAGTGTACGCAGCAGTTATTTGTGTACTTGTGTGGGTGGCTATCATTTTGTGCCAAATCATTATGTGGTACACTTAAGATTTAGGCACATTCCTGTACATGTCACATTTCCACTGAAATTAGTTTAGAAAAACTCAGATTTTGTTCATTATGACCTTTTCATGTGAGACAAAAGAGAGAAAAGAAGACAATAAAAATCTCTGATCCTGGGTTCTTTTGTTCCTTTATCAGTCAAATGAGAAACTGAGATGAGGCCAGGTCTTTTGTAACCATCATTTCATCTTCTCCAGGTGGGAAACAATTACCACTCACTCTCAAACCACAAGGTTCAATCAGAATGGACCCTGACCCTCCAAGACCTAGGCTGGGCCACCCCACCGATAATTAAGAAATGAGCATGCAACCCAAACTGGGCCAATGAGACCTGAGTTTAGGATGCTATGTAACTTTAAGCAAATTCTGCCAAACTGGCCACTACACAGCAGGGTTTCCTATCGAATTGAGCGGTCCTCCCTGAGGATAAATCAAAAAGAGAGGGAAGGAGAGATGAGGAAGATCATGGTGATACACACGTATATACGTATATACATGAGCTATATATAGAGAGAGGAAGATTATTCTTAGATAGTCACAGAGTTATAATGACAGTTTTGAAAATCTGAATATAACTGCATCTAATCCGTGACTTTCCAATTCTGTGAACCAATGAATTCTCTCTCTTGCTGGAGACCGGAAGTTTGCTTTCCGTCACTTCTCACCTGAGAGCTCTGGCTTAAAACTGGCAAGCTCTCTTCTGGCTTTAGCAGGCAATGACTTAGACACTGCATTCCAAACTTTTCTAACTAAGCATCCTTTTCTGGCCTCAGAGGAATGAACAGTACGCTCGAGCCCAGCCCCTCCACCAAGAAGTCTGATGGTCTTTGAAGTTTCATATTTTGTTTAAAAAATAGAAGATCAAGGACTTTCCAATCCACTGCCCATTAATAGTTTGTCTTAATATGTAAAAAAAACTTTCCTCTAAGTCATCACATAAAACTGATACTCCAAGATGAGTCCTACTATTCTGAAGTAATTTGCGCCAACTCCCTATGGCCATGTACTCCTACGCATTAGCATCTCCCTGTTTTAAAAGAACAGAGCCAGGCAAGTGCAGATTCCTACACTGTTGAGAGGCAGACAAAGTAATGAGGACCAGTCTTGAGTGGCAGCGGCCAATGAGTACCACTCAGTGTTGCGTTTTTTTAAAATCCCCAAGCGGGACATGCACACTTGCAAGATGGATGAAATCAGGCCACAACCCTTCCCATCTCTGATTTCGAATGTACATTCTTCTATTTTCCAGCTAACATTCAGGCAATGCTTATTCTGTTGCTAACATCCATTCTCCAAACGCCAGTATTTTTCTTCTTAGGAAAGATATTTCCTTCAAATAGAGAGATAAGGCACAGAAGCTTCAGCATATATTTATTTAGGGAGACTATATTATACTTTGTGAAAATCAATGACTTTCCCATGCAATCTCTGGAAGGAAAATTACCGTTTTTCCAACAGATACACTCACGTTTTACGTGACATTTTAAACAGCCTCCAAGTTTCAACCTTAACCAGCAATATTTGAATTGCTTTTAATTTAGCAGGTATAGAGAAGAGAATAATGTGGCACTTCTTTCTGATGCCTGTCAGAAGCTAGGGCCTCCCCACGAGAATCTGGTGTTCACATCAGTCATTCTCTCCCATTCACACAGACACAGAGGGGACCGCCACTCTCCAGACTGGCAGCCTACTCCGAAATAACAGGTGTATGGAGTACTTTTTAAATAACTTAATATAATCAAGATTTCAATCTGAACTATTAAAGAAAGGGGAAAATTAATTTAAAAACTGACACCAGTGACCTTTACAATTACATGTTGTGGCTCTTGTACAACATGCACTCAGAGGTTGCTGTTTGTCTGATTTACTGGTAATAAAGCGTTCTTCGTGGAGAGTAAGATCTCATTGTTCAGAGGGGCTCACTGTGAAGTCAAGAAGAAGGTTTAATTAGTACACAGTTAAAAAGGGAAGAGTTAGCTTTTCTGTTGTACAGAAGACTTCAGAATTTGGCGTTACAAATAATTTTAGTCTCATAAGCATGGTGATACATATGATAATGCTCCAGGTAACGTGACTATCTACTCTCTCTGCATAGCACCGGCAAGCACATTCTGATTTGCAACTAACAAGTCTTTAAGGCCGGTACCAATGGTATTCCCTTCAGGAGGGAATGAGGCCTGGGGAGGTGATGGCCAACTGTCACGAGTTTCAGAGTACATGCTCTAGCCAGAGCCTGATGCCAGGGACTGTGTTCCAACCACTCAGCTAATCACTGCCTACAAAGTTGGTGGGTCCTTTGAAAATCAACCACCCAACTATCTACAGGGCAATAAATACCCATTTTCTGATCTTTTCCGCAAATCCAGGCATTTTGCTGTCTTCCCCAGCACCTTCCATTTAGCTTCTCAAGCCAGAAATCCAGACAGAAACATTCTTTGCGATTCTTACTCTCTTCCCCCTGCCCGCCCCAACACAAGCCACCTGCATACCTGTTGGCTCAATGCCCGTCCTTGCTTCTTCCTCAACTGCCTCCCTTGGCCCCGTCACCATCATTTCTTCAAAGTCTGCAACAGCCTTTGCGTCCAGTCCGGTCCCCATCTATTTTGTTCACAGTGAATGTGTCTGTGTCGTCCTGGCCTGCCACACACACACACACACACGTCTTGCTCACTCCTTCCCTGTGTCTCCCTGTGCTCGAGGCGTTTGTCTAAATGGTTCAGAACCAGAAAGCTGAAATTCCAGGCTCCCTGGAGCAGAGCTCTCCCTCATGCTGTTCCCTCTGCTCAAAATGCCCTTCCCTTCCTTTCCTCCTGCAGAATTTCTGTACACCCTTCCGGTACCACTGTCACCACTCCCTCAGAGAAACTCAGGGCGGGAAAGCTCCTGCCATGGAAGCACTTAGCATCCCTTCGCAATGTGCACCACAACTAACGTTGCAGATCTCGTGCATGCTTCATCCTAAGAAGAAATATTCATCAAATATCTTTTTCCAGGCATAGAAAACTTAACACCAGTGTCTGAATTAGCACAGATTCTATACGAATCATACTGTTAGTGTCACCTTGACCTTTCCTTTCACATAAAGGGTGACCGTGCAGGAGTAGCCAGAGCTTTACAATGGCTCGAGTGGTGAGAAAGCAAGAGTCTGTCATAATGCCACAAGCGGAAAAAATTTCTGGAACTGTCTTGATTATCAAAGCTCTGGTAGAAAGCAGAAAAGTGATTTTCAGTGACAAGTGACACAGCTGACGTTAAAACAGAAGGCAGAGAAGCCAGCCCTCTGTGGTTCTAATTGTAAAAATGAGAAATATGTGCAATCAGGAATGGGTTTAAAATCTGCACCATTCTGAAGCATATCAGAAGGTTTGGAGGAGCAATCACAATCTATAAGTAAAAGCAGTAGTGAGTTAAGGTGGCAATTAGATCAGTACAAAGAATCATAGTGAAAAATTGGAAAGAACCCTTTCACAGAAAGTGACATTTCCAGTCATATTTGCAACCCACAAAATATAAGGAAAAAAGCCCAGGATTCTTGTGATATGAGACACTGGAGAAAAACAGATTGGCTAAATAGCTCCCAATCTTTTTTTTTTCAAAGAAAGCAACAAAATGAGGGGTGGATTAGGTTTTCTTTCTAAGTGGGGAAAGAAAATGCTGATTGCAATGAAAGCATTTGACAAGAGACCCAATACCACTGAAGCAGACAAGCTATTACCAAGAGAACAAAATCTATGAAATGTATTTCTAAACTATTAGGCCAATAAGACTGGTAGTTTGATTTCATATGCCCATGTTTGCAAAAATAGATGAATCAATTTTATTTTAATCTATTTAGATCTTTGAATTTAATAAAATCTCATTAATTTTAAATGAGGTCAGAAAATTAACAAAAACAACCTGGCAATTTGAGCTGCTTGCTTGGGACTATCCAGTATTTGCACTAACAAACAACGGGCTGTCCAAGCAGCTGCAAAGTACACCTGACCTTACCTAGTCCTGCACTGCCTTCGTCAGGTTTTCTCTAAAATAACCCAAAACACCAGGGACACCAGGGAATAGACAGAGAGAGTGAACAGTGTAACCTGATCAAGTATAATATATTTTTCCTATAAATTGAATTCTAAACTACATAGTTAAAATCTGACAGTGAAGAAAATCTAAGCATGAGCTAGAGAGAATTGATGTGTTACACACACAGAGGCGGAGACAACTTTAGGAGACTGTGCCACTGAGACCGTGGGCTGAATTCCACGAAGTCAAAAGAAGGGACACTAGCAATAGCATGGGGAGTTTATGTTCAGTGACTGAATTAGCTTTTGTTTTTCTGCATGGTTACAAGTCTTTCAGAATAGAGATGCAAAAGGGGAGGAAATGCTATATAAAAATGAATAGAAGCTGAGTACAGAGGAACATGCTTGCAATCTTAGCACTCTGGAAGGCTGAGGCAGGAAGATCACATCTGAGTGACTTAGTGACTTAGTGAGACTCTGCCTCAAAAATAAAATGGCTGGAGGTATAGCTCAAGACAAAGACTCTGGGTTCAATCTCCAGTGCAGAGAAACAGAGACAGAGGCAAACAAAGACACAGACTCACAGAGAGAAGAAACTTATTAGCCCTAAACAACCACCCAAAAGAGAAGAAAGATAACTGTCTATAACCCTTAAACTCTTTCCCCAGACCATAAAGGAAAACAGTAATGCTCAACATTCTGTTGACCCACTGAGTATGGGTGGCGACTGGGCTAAGATCCCCAGGTCATTATGGGATACCTGCTGCTGGGTAACCCCCCGATGCTCATTCCTTCAGAGTGTGCCCGGTCAGGCAGAGAAGGCAGCTCCCACCAGCAACAGGCGGGGCAGGGGAAGAGTACGTGGTAAAGTTGCTATTGCCCTTGGACCAGAAGTGAGCCGTGTGTAGTGAGGGAAATTTCTGCCCAAGAGAGCATTGTGGAACAAGAATGGAACCTAAGCAGAAAAACAAACTTCATATTCTACTTTTCTTAAGGGCTGCGGAAGAGCCGTAAGTGACAATGCTAAACAGAGATGCAATCAGCGTCATCAGCAGACTGCTTTTGACAGATTTCAGCTATTAAGAGTGTTGGTGAGTATGAGACTCTCCAGAGGAACCCCCCAAAGCAACCACGAACTAAAAAGCCTGCCTCTGTATGTAGCCAGCCCCACAGATCAAGTCTGGAGTTCTGGCAGTTTCACAAGCCTGCATCTTTTAATCATGAACGTGTAATTGAATACAGTAATGTATGGAGGCTTTAGGGTCTACTATTACCAAACAGCTAACAGAAAGTCAGTGCAGCCTTCCAGGAAAGTCTGACATAACAACAGGGCCAGTCCCCCTGAGCAAATACAAAGAGACAGGAGAAGTGAAACACGGCATTACTTTGGGACCAAGTCATACAAACAAACCCTGCTCATCGGACAGTTCAGAGCAGTAGATAAAAGCAATCACATCGGCAGAAGTTTACTGAGTGCCGGGTCTGAGCTGAACATTTCAGGGCAGCAGCTCATGTAACCCTCACATCAGCCACGCGGCTGGAAATTGTGATTTCCCCCCGCTTTACAGATAGGAGAAACCGACAACCGACTGAGGTCACGCCACAGAGGTGGGATTCTAAGCCCCTGCGCCAATTCTCTGCTCTCCTCCGCTGTGGGCATGGCTTAAATAACAGCCATCATTTCGTGGGCGCTTGCCCTGTGATTTACACTGAGTTCAGATTACCCTTGAATAACGCTACCGATGCAGAAATCTTGGTAAAGGGAGCCCCGGCCAAGAGCGCGCAAGGCCTGTGAAGATACAGGAGGATTTGGGGCGGACAGCCTGGCTCCAACAGGCGGCGCTCTGAGCAGTGGGGTCCACCGTGAGGGTCAGCTGAGGTGTCCCTGGCGGAGGTTACAGCGTGGCCATGAGGGGCGGACGGGCCTCAGGCTGAGCTATGCCAACAGAGGGCCTGGCTCACAAAGGCGAGAGCAGGGCCGCGATGACACCCGCTAGCAAGCTGCTCGCCCGGGCCTGGCTGTCACGGAGTCGGGGTGGGGACCAAGCGGAGAATAAACAATAGAGGCACAAACAACTGTTTCCGCTAGTGCGCCCTCTCGCCTCCTAGAACTTGCTCATCACTCACGTTAAGAGGCAGCGGAGCAATAACCAGCCCAGGGCCCTCGGAATGAAATCAGCCCAAACGGGCTCCTCCTCCGGTGACGCTGGGCCGTAAATCCGCAGCTCGCAGTGGTGCCAGCCAGCCAGGCACGCGGCGCCGTCCGTCTTCTACCGGCCGTCAGCAGGGCTCCCTCTCGTAAACAACAGGGGGGACTTGCTGTAATGATTGCTTTCATCCTCCCGCTTCTCTGCCCGACTTCATGGAGTGAATTGAAAATGTTAGGTTGGCAGAAAGAGCATGTGTATTCATCTCAGAAGACGCATCAGGATTGGAATGTGCCTGTTCTGAGAAGCTCAGGGAATGTGGATTTGGTTCAGAAGAGCTAAAAAGTGCTCTGTAGCACAAGGAAATTTTTCTCTCTTTCAAGGGACACTTACCAGGTTAGGTAGCTTGGACTCAATTTATGCCTGTCAGGGATGGGCAGGCACCGAAGGCTGATTGGCTGATGAAATGAACAAATGAACAATGAAGGAGAGGATGGGTGGGCTCTGAGATCAGATTCACTCAGGCTGGGATCCTACTCCATCACCGTCTTCCTGTGTGACTGGCCAAGCCACTTCACATCTCTGAGCCCGGTAACTCCTCTGTAAAAGAGGAAGATAACGGCGCTGGTGATGGACCTCTGTGCGCTGCTTTGTTTTGTTTCCTCCGGCCTCCACTGGTTTTATTCGCTGTAATACCCTGACTTGGGTATGAGGATCTCTCCCAACCTCAGTCTCACCATCATCTGAGTGGCTCCAACGCCATCCTGGGCCGGAGTAAACCTCTGACTTTATCCCTGGCCGGCGGGCCTGCTGCCCTCCTCCAGAAGTCAGCTAGAGAAGTGGATGCCTCAGAATCAGGCTGGTCACAGCAGTGTCAGTCAGATTCTCCAGAGAAACTGCAAGAAAGGACTGAGAGGTTTACTCGACACTTTGGCTCGCAAACTGTGGGGTTCAGTAAGTCCCGAACCCATGGGACAGACTGGCGGGCTAAAGAGCCAGGGAAGGTTCGATGCCACAGTCTTGGGCCAGAAGTCTGCAGGGGAACTCTACATTCCAGTCTTAAGGAAGAATCCATCCTGCTTTCTCAGAAAACCTGTCTTTGCACTTAAAACCTTTAAATGATTGGCTAATAAGCCCATCCTTATTAGAAAGGTATCTGCTTTACTGAAACTCTACCAGTTTAAAAATTAACCACATATTTTGCAATGTCTTCATAGCAACATCCAGAGTGGTATCTGACCAAACAAATGGGCACCACGGTCTTGCCAGGTTTGCACAACGACAACAGCCAATAGAGAAATCCCAGCACTTGTTCAAGCTGCAGGAGGAAACTCTCGCTCCTGCTGTATCTGAGTCAGAAAGGATGTGAGGGCACAGAACCCGGCTGAAGGTGACTGGCTGGACGACAGGACATGAGGCCACCTCAGGAGCCAGGCTGTCATGGGCCAGAGCCTCCAAAGAGGCTGTCCCAGTCCTGGGGGCCAGCATTGTGACACAAGTGGGAATAAAAAGGTCAAAATAGTGTCTGAGAGATGTCAGATATACGGAGGCTTTTTCCTAACAGGTTCACCTCCTTGATCTGAAATCAACATTGTCCCCAAATCAAAAACTCTGTGAGCTGACAGCACCACAGGTAGAGAACTCCTGACAGGACAAGTCACAGACACACACAGGTGTGCCAAGGGGACTGCAGAAAGGTGCCTTCAGGCTGTGTGTGTGAGGTGAAGATGAAACACAAGCGAACACGAAATTGAAAGTAGGGTCCATCCCTGAGGTCTCTTATGGAGCACAGGCAAATGCTTCAGAACCCAAACACCTCCAGTCTCAAGCATTTCAGAAAAAGGGTACTCGATATGTCTCCTCTAGGTCTTGTGAAAGACAGACAGACAGATGTTTACATGGATTTGTGCCTGTGAGTCACTCTGTTTAAAAACATCAAACAGCAACAAGAAAGAGATACTGAAAAATGTCTCCCTCTCCCCCTTGACTTCTAACGTGCCTGACATCACCTAGGAATAAGATTCCCAATTCCTTACCTATCCTCCATAACACTTTTAAATATGTACAACACATCCCTATCTATTTCTTTAGAAGTAGATATGCTTTCCATGAAAGAAAACTACACACTATATGCTCTGTTTTATTTTTTCCCCCTTAAAACATACTGAGGACATCGTTCACACTGGCATACTGAAGGTCTTCGCAGTTCCTCTTACAAGCTGCACAATTCTTAAATCCCCCATCCCTGGACATGTAGACTTGGACCTAGTTCTATGCTGTTTCCAGCAGGGCTTCAGTAAACATCTCACACATTTGCCTTTGCATGCATGTGAAGTTACTTTTTAGACTAAAAAATAAATGTGTGAGTTTGAAGTTGAACCCAAAATGCCCACCAAAGAGATTGTACCAATTTACATTCCCACCAACCAATGGGAGGGAGGCTAGTTAAATTGAGAAGGAGGCACAGGAGAGCGATGCTCAAAGGAAAATGCACCTGCCACACATATTTGGGACTTGGTGGGGAGCTACTTCTCACTGGTAAAACAGAGAATACTGAATCCAGTGGGATATTCTTGTAACCACAGGGAAAGGAGGGGCAAAGACAGAGTGGAGGAACATCAGGGCAAGGGTCTGAGCTTTGGTACCAGGGACCATGCTCCATGTGTGTATCTGAGAACACAGAACACTGCTGCTCACCACTTCTTCTCCTTCGGGTACAACCACAACCATTTTGAGCAAAAAATGCGTGAGGACTGAGGTTGGATCTCCAGCTGGATCTCCTTCCAAAACTGTGTGGAGAAACTCCAGACAAAATCATAGCAGAAGTCCAGAAGAGGAGCAGTCCTCAGTGTGAAGCCTGAAATTCATACCTCTGGAAAGGGTAGGAGAGAGAGGAGGGGGCTAACTGCCTTGAAAAGATATCACCACTAGACCCAGGACTCAGACTCACCACAGAGGCATGGTGCTGAGGAAACCAGACTTCAGAGAAGCACATAAACTCTTCCCTTCTTTCACCCCTGTAATAAACATAGGGAGCTAGGACTATGCCAGGGCAGGGGCCCACACAGAAGTGGAGAGACAGCAAAAACTAAGTGGGTTCACTGTCCTAGCACAGAAAATTATGGTAGAAGACAGGAGGAGAGAGGGCAAAAATATTGTTTATAGGCTTTGCAGAAAGCCTCTCAAAAGAAGGTGGTATCAGAACTGGGTTTTCAAGGATCAGTAGGAGCTTCACATCAGAAAAGATAAGCAAGAACATCCCAGACAAAAGAAAGGTCACATGCAAAGCAACAGCTGTGAGCATCAGCAAATTTTCTGGAGATCAATGGAGAAAAAGCACTAGAAAAGAACATGTGAGAGGCTCTTCAGACACAGAGACGTGGGGTCCCTGAAGCTGTGTCCTACTAAAGGATGGAGTTGAGTCTTACTGACTGGCAGCCAAGGGAGACCTGCAAGCAGGCAAGCGAGATGGTGGAAGAAGGGAGCTTTCTACCAGACTACACAACAAGCCTGGCGCTTTTATCGTGACAGAATCAGTGCCCCTGAGCCAAAGCACACCCAGTGGTGGTGTGCTGCTTTCTGATGGAAGGGTAAAAGCCAGGCCACAGCCACTCCTCTTGCAGGTGCCGGCCAAGAGCACTGCCAGTCTAGATCCATTCTCTAGAATCCCCAGTATCGATGCCCACAAAGTACCCCGCCCATCAAACAGACAGCACTTTGGCTGAGGTCTCCCTAGAATAACAGAATGAAGTGCACTCCTGCCCTGGGAGTCTGGATGGATCAATCTGCCTGTTCACACATGACACAAACATGCGGCAGGTGCAACAGCCACTCAGTCAGCAAGGCCCCTGAATAAATAACATTCTTTAGTCACTGTTAAAAGAGAAATCCCCAAGATGCAGGAGAAAAATAGCAAACCTGCTAGATATCAAGTTATGAACTGGGGCATTGTGCAGTGAAGGTCCCTGTGTCCCTGGAAATCCAGGGCCTTCTGAGAAAGGACAGAAGAGGACATCGCAAGACACTAACACACTTGCTGTTGGCCAACTGGTTTACCCAAGAAGATGAGCACCAAGTCACCAACACCAGGGGATGCTGGGTGTGTGCAAGAAGTAGCTATTGCCACGCAATAAGGACACAATGGTGGCAGGGCACAGTGGTGTGCACCTGTAATTCCAGCACTATTCAAGCCCAGCCTGGGTAACTTAGTCAGATCCTGTCTCAAGAAAGGGGTTGTAGATGTAGTTTAGCAGGGAGGCCCTGGGTTCATTCCCTAGCAGTGCAAAAATAAATAGCATCAACAGCAAGAGTAATAATATAGTAACGAACATGTGTGCACTGCTTGCTGTCTGGCAGGCGCTGTTCTTGCCGCTCTGTGCATCTTATATCATTTGATTGTAAATTTAAAAATGTATTTAAGGGGGCTGACACTGTGATTCTCCTTCATTTACAGATGCAGAAACTGGGGTACAGAGAGATTAAATACTTTCTCCAAGACCACAGAGTTCATCCCAGCACAGTCAGAACTGAAGTCCAGGCTGCCTGGCTGGATGCCCCTGGTTTATCCCATCATTGGCATCATAGGGGAAAAGACTTTTGAGCACAGAAGGCCTGAGTTTGATCATAGCTGCTCCCACCCTCAAGCTCCAAGTCTTGAAGACAATGGCTTTATCTCTCGGTTTTCTCCACTCTTCATACAATGCAAAGAAGGGTGACACTTCACTAGGAAGGTTCAGCATCTACTAAGCGAGTGCCCAGGACGTAATAAGAAGCCAGCCATTGCCTGCGAAGTCACAAGGGCAGGGGCCCTCCAAGCATTCTCCCTGTCCATTTAATCTTTCCCAAGAGCTCCCATGTGCCGACCAGGGACCGCTCTGCACAGAGCCCTCATTTCCCCGGCCCTCCTCACTCACTCCACACAGGAATCAGACTTCTTAAACACTTCTCTGCATGCTGTAATTGGCTGCTCTCTTCCCAGAAGGAACCACAAGAAAACCCACAAAAGTTCTATCAGTAGTAAGCTTTCTCATCTCTGGGACACAATACCCAGCAAAAGGAGGAGAGATTTCATGTGTTTGCAGTTTAGGTCCAAGATCAGCTGGCTCTAAGGCAGAGACATCACAGTGGAAGGGTGTGGCAGGCAAAACTGCTCAGTTCATGGCAGCCAGGAAGAAAGCAAGGGACAGTACTACAGAGGAAGGGGCCAAGGCCCAACACAGACCACAGGGCCATTCTTCTGTGACCCACCCAGATACACACAGGAGCCTGCTGTCCTAATCTGCTAGGTGATTCCTAATCCAATGCAACGGGGCACATCAGGATTGAAGCAGGCCTTTGGAACAACAGTGCCAAAGCCTTGTGTCACCCAGATACTCTGAGATTCATAAAGGGAGTTTAGGGGGTGATTTTTAGGAGGATGGACTACTGAACCCTGAAG